CTTCAACCTTCTCCACATGTTGGCACAGTTATGGAGTCTCCTTCTCTCCTTCATGCTCAGCTTGGTCACCCCAGTCTGCGCAAATTACAGCAACTTGTTCCCAGCTTATCCCAGTTGTCCAATTTGGTATGTGAGTCCTGTCAGTTAGGCAAACATAGTCGTACTTCCTTTTCTCGTAGTGTTTCCCAGCGTGCTTCATCCCCCTTTGCCTTAGTTCACTCTGACATTTGGGGACCCAGTCGTGTTAAGTCTAATTTAGGTTTTCAATATTTTGTTACTTTTATTGATGATTTCTCTCGTTGCACTTGGTTATTTTTAATGAAAAATCGTTCTGAGTTGTTTTCTATATTCCAAAACTTTTATCATGAAATTAAAAATCAATTTGGTGTCTCTATTCAAACTTTTCGAAGTGATAATGGCCGTGAATATCTTTCAAACTCGTTTAAACAATTTATGGCTTCTCATGGCATTCTTCATCAAACTTCCTGTGCTTATACCCCTCAACAAAATGGGGTGGCTGAGCGCAAGAATAGACACCTTATTGAAACAACCCGTACTCTTTTAATTCATGGTGAGGTTCCTCAACATTTTTGGGGTGATGCTGTTCTTACTGCCTGTTATCTTATTAATCGTATGCCCTCTTCGGTTTTAGATAACAAAATTCCCCATTCTATTTTATTTCCTCATGACACTCCATCCTTTACCTCTGAAGGTTTTTGGGTCTACCTGTTTTGTCCACAATTTTGATCCTGGTCATGATAAGTTATCTCCTCGATCACACAAATGTGTTTTCTTAGGATTTACTCGATCCCAAAAAGGATACAAGTGTTTTTCTCCTTCTCTTAATCGCTATTTTGTGTCTGCCGATGTCACCTTCAATGAGTTTTCCTTTTACTTTAAGGACCCTTCCCTACCTGCTGAGTCTCCATCTGCTACAGTTCCCATTCCTGTTCTCATTGATCCTTATGTTGAGGACCATCCACCATTAGTCCCTCCTCCTCCACCACCCCTTCAGGTTTATAGTCGCGAGACCTCGTCCACAGCAGACGCCACATGACTCACTCCCAGTGCCAAATACTCTGCCTCCTCAGGTTCAGTCCACAGAGTCTGACCTTCCTATTGCCCTTCGTAAAGGTACACGTTCTACTCGTAATCCTTCCCCACATTATCCTGCTTTAAGTTATCATCGAATTTCTTCACCATTTTATACCTGTCTCTCGTCTATTTCTTACTGTGTCTATTCCTAAATCTGTCTCCGAAGCCTTAGCCCACCCTGGTTGGCGTCGAGGCCATGCTAGATGAACTCGGTGCTCTTCGAGACTAGTGGAACCTGGACGCTTGTCCCATTACCATCTGGAAAATCTGTTGTTGGTTGCAGGTGGGTCTTCGCTATCAAGGTTGGTCCTGATGGTACTATTGATCGCCTCAAAGCTCGCCTTGTAGCCAAAGGCTATACCCAAATTTTTGGGTTGGATTATGGTGATACTTTCTCTCCAGTGGCAAAGATGGCTTCTGTTCGTTTATTCATTGCCATGGCTGCTATTCAACAATGGCCTCTTTATCAACTGGATGTCAAAAATGCTTTCTTGAATGGCGATTTGCAAGAAGAGATTTATATGGAGCAACCTCCGGATTTGTTGCTCAGGGGAGTCTTCTGGATTGGTATGTCGTCTTCGCAAATCTTTATATGGCCTAAAACAGTCTCCTAGGGCCTGGTTTGGAAAATTTAGCAGCGTTGTTCAACAATTTGGCATGACTAGAAGTGAGGCGAGACCACTCGGTCTTTTACCAGTCACTCGAATCTTTGGATGTATCTATTTGATAGTGTATGTCGATGACATTGTTCTTACAGGTAGTGACCATCATGGCATCTCTCAGATGAAACAACACCTTTGCCACCATTTTCAAACCAAAGATCTTGGCAAACTCAGATATTTCTTGGGTATTGAGGTAGCACAATCTACCGATGACATTGTTATATCTCAAAGAAAGTATGCATTGGATATTTTGGAGGAAACTGGGTTGATGAATTCAAAGCCTGTTGACACACCCATGGATCCTAATACCAAACTCTTGCCAAATCGGGGGAGCCAATGTCAGATCCTGAACGAGTATAGAAGATTAGTTGGAAAATTAAATTATCTTACGAGTTACTCGCCACTGACATTTCCTTTGCGAGTCGGTGTGGTGAGTCAATTCCTCAATTCTCCTTGTCAAGATCATTGGAATGCGAGTCATCCGTATATTGAAGTACATCAAAAAGTCTCCTGGAAAAGGTTTGGTGTATGACTCCCATAATCATACAAGAGTTGTCTGCTATTCGGATGCTGATTGGGCAGGATCTCCCTCTGATAGAAGATCTACATCTGGGTATTGTGTTTCCATTGGTGGTAACTTGATCTCATGGAAAAGTAAGAAACAAAGTGTTGTGGCAAGATCCAGTGCAGAAGCAGAGTATAGAGCTATGGCCTCAGCTACCTGTGAACTTATTTGGCTCAAGCAATTGCTTAAAGAGCTACAATTTGGAGATGTCACTCAAATGACACTAGTGTGTGACAATCAGGCTGCTCTCCATATAAGCTCTAATCCTGTCTTTCATGAGAGGACTAAACACATTGAGATTGACTGCCATTTTATTCGGGAAAAGATTATGTCTGGAGACATCAAGACTGAGTTCGTTAACTCATGTGATCAATTAGCAGATATTTTCACTAAGTCTTTACGTGGACCTAGGATGGATTATCTTTGTACCAAGCTAGGCACATACGATTTGTATGCTCCAGCTTGAGGGGGAGTGTTAGATATGATTAGATATTAGTTGATATTATTTGATATTGTTGAGATATTGTTAGATATTGTTAATCACAATATCAAATAATATCTTTTTATTTACCCTATTTGTATTCTGTTACTCTTTTGAGGAGTACCTTTCTTTATTATAAATACACTGCCCTATGTGTGGTAAATACACAAGGGAAATTAACCCTATACAGTTTTTCCCTATATTCAACACATGGACTGAGATGAAAAGGATCATGAGGAAGCGGTATGTGCCGGCTAGTTATGCAAGGGACTTGAAATTTAAACTCCAAAAACTTACTCAAGGCAACAAAGGGGTTGAGGAGTATTTCAAAGAAATGGACATGCTCATGATTCAAGCAAAGATTGAAGAAGATGAAGAGGTAACTATGGCCCGATTTATTTGTGGTTTGAATATTGATATATGTGATATTGTTGAGTTGCAGGAGTTTGTTGATATGGAGGATTTACTTCATAAAGCAATTCGAGTGGAGCAACAACTCAAAAGAAAAGAAGTGACTAAGAAGAGTTCTACCAACTTTGGATTTTCAAGTTTTAAGGACAAAGGCAAAAAAGATGGGACTGTTACTTCTAGTAGTTCCACACCTATTCCTACAAAGACCCATTCAAAATATGAAGAACAACTCTCTAAAAAAAGTAGAGATGTGAAGTGTTTCAAGTGTCAAGGCCTAAGACACTATGCTTATGAGTGCCCTAACACAAAGACCATGATTCTTAGAGAGGGAGAATATATAAGTGAATCTGAGGTTGAAGAGGGAGAAAAGAGTGAAGACACTGAGGAGGAAGAAGAGATTCCAAAGGGAGATTTATTGATGATTAGGCGATTACTTGATAGTCAATTGAAACCTATGGAAGAAAACCAAAGAAAAAATATTTTTCACACTAGATGTTTAATCAATGACAAGGTGTGCATGATGATCATAGATGGAGGTAGTTGCACTAATGTGGCTAGTGCTAGATTAGTATCAAAACTAAATTTAGCTACCAAACCACATCCTAGGCCATATAAACTTCAATGGCTTAGTAAGGATGGAGAGGTGCAAGTGAGACAACAAGTTGAAGTGGACATTTCCATTGGAAAATACAATGATAAGGTGCTTTGTGATATTATTCCTATGGAAGTCAGTCATTTACTTTTGGGGAGACCATGACAATTTGATAAAAGGGTTAATCATAACGGGTTCACCAACAAGATTTCTTTCATACATCAAGACAAGAAGATTGTGCTCAAACCTTTGAGTCCACAAGAAGAATGTGAGGATAAAAAGAAAATGAAAGAAAAACTTCTTCAAGAAAAGAGAGAGAAAGAAAGCGTTAGTGAAACACTTGAGAGGAAAAAGAGTGATCAAAAGAAGAGTGAAACACTTGAAGTGAAACAGAGCTATTTAACCATAAAAAGTGAGTATAATGTTTGTTCTACATTTAATTTGTCAGACTTATCTATTTTTAATGTAGATGACGAATCCGATTTGAGGACAAATCCTTTTCAAGAGGGAGAGAATGATGTGAACATGACCTATGATAAGGGCTAGAGCAAGGGAAACAAAGGAAGCTTTTCAACAAGTATTGTTGATTGACCAAATTGTGTTTTGGATTAATCAATTAATGGGTTTTAGTTTGATTTTGTTTTAAGTTGTAATAAGGGTCCAATTGAAAATTTAGTCATCAGCCTTTGGGAGACCAAGGGATGCATAGCTGATTGACTTTTGGTTGCCACAGTTTCAGATACAATCAGTCATTAAGTAGTTTTCAATTCCTAGGTTAATGGATCATTATTAGCCTTTATTTGTTTTCATTAAATAGTTTTCAATTCTTAGATTAATGGGTTATTATTAGTATTTATTTTCTTTTATTAAGCCTTTTGTAATTCTGATGACAACGCTTCTATATTAGCTGAACCATTCTTATCAAGAAATAACAAGTGAAATTTTATTCAGAAATATTAGAGTTTATCTCTTTTATCTTAGTGAGAGTGATTCTCCTAAATTCTTGATTGATTCAAGAACTCTTGGTTGTATCAAAGGACTGTCACATCCTTTGTGTGTTGCCTCCCTTGAAAAGAGTGATTCTTTCCTTCCACCTTCTTTGTAATTCCTAAATTTCTTACAAGGTTTTAACCCTAAAGATCCTAAATTACCCCTTGTGATTCATATCAGCAAGAGTGGGACAACTTCGCAGTCATGAGTGAACTCGTTTGTAAACTCTTTTTTGGAGTATACTTGTGTTGAATCAGGTAAACTTGGCGAGATTCAAGAGTTTACCATGAAGTCAGCGATTTAGATTACATCTTTGTTAAGAAAGTGTGTGTTCCTCTTCCATTGCATTTCTAACTTGCGTCTTTTCTTTCCCCAGTCACTGCATTTCTCCCCTCTATGTGGGTCTTCTACCCTAGCTTTGCTTTGCCCTCTGAAGCTCTGAGTCGCCCTTTGCAACTCAACGTCATAATGTCTAGAGCTTCCTCCATGTCACATGATATCTAGGGCTACGCATCTTCCTTCATTCTTTGCATCTTAAATTTGTTTTCATTCTTTGCATCTTAAATTTGTTTTCTGTTATTCTTTATTTGGAAGTTTCCTCCTTCTATGTTTTATTTAGTGTGTGTGGTTGTATCAGGATTTCGTTCTATATTTGCACTTGGAGATTGTAATTTAACCGATAAAGATACATGTTTTACTCTTTTTATTTTTTGTTGGTATTTAGGCTTTTAGCAGAAGTTGGGTTATTAAGATTAAGTTAATATGTGGTATAATATGATTATTATTTTTCTATTTTCTTTATTTTTTTATATTGATTCAAATTATATGATATTAATATAGCTTATTGATCACATCCTACAAATAAAAATACTCATAATAATATCATCAATTAGTTACTAGTTTACTTAATTATAATATTTAAATATTAAATTAATATATTATTTTTTTATGAAGTAGACTCTTATGGATTCAAGAATTGACTCTACAAGTCGAGTTTACAAAAGTCTCATGAGTCCGAATAGACTCTCGAGTTTGATAACCTTACCAACGAAAGAAGCTAGCTACTATAAATGCTCCTTCTGAATTTTGTTTTAAGTGGATTGATTGAAAACAAAACTCAATTCTCAGTTCAATTCTTTCTCTCTCGACTTCTGTTAAGAGTTTTGGGTCCTATGTTTACTCCAAAAGGTTAGCCTGTATTGTGTTTAATGCCTACTTGAATAATTGTTAAAGCACTACACTTGTGTTGTCCCTTTATCCACAGTTCATAACATGTCCTATTGATTTTTTAACTTTTGTAATGCAATGCTCAATTGAAAGATTTTGTTTATTTGAAAAACTGACTTGGGGCATTTTGTTTTTGAAGAGAATATGGTGATATGCTTCGAAGATCAGGAAACAGGGAGATGCTTGAGAGAGATCCCCACTAAAGTTAATAATTTTTCCACCAAAATGTACAGTGAACTATCTAAGTTGTATTTCAGTACTCTGCTTTTGTTACCGGCTATTTCCTTTTTCTACGTGCATTTCACATAATAGGGGAAGGTTGCTCCATTTCTATATGAAATTTATTCTTCATTAAATTTTGATTTTCATATTTATTTCTATATTTCTATAATTTTATACATTTTTTTAGTTTAGAATATAATTTTAAAATATAACAAATTTTAGGAAAAATAAGATATATATTTTAAGATTTAAAATGAAAAATAAAATATTAATATTTCATTTTCCATTTTTAAATATTATTTTGATTTTATTCAATTGTATTTTTATTAAATCTATTTTAAATGTTTTATTTTCCATTCTTTTTTACAATAAAAAATTGATTGGAAGAATTGTAACCTTCTATATTATATATTCAAACCATAGACTTGTCTAGTTACTTCTATTTATTATGTAATTAGTTCCATTGTGGTTTAAAATCCATACTTTTCTTAAGCCCTGTGTATTTAGTTTTAATATCATCTTATAGAATGATCAAAACTTCTTCCCTTTGCCTGATCATAGTTTTAGTGCGTCTAAGAGACTTCTTGCCTAAAGAATTGCACCTAATGTTCGACATTCAAATTGATTGAGGAAAAATCCATCTTCCCGTCTTCCCCCCTTGTTTGCAGTTAGTTGGACAGACGTGGTATATATTTCAAGAACTCAGTTCTACCTGTCCGCTGAGATATTTCAAAATATACTTAAATAAATATTTGTAAATAAAATAATATATTGTAATGATCCTCTTAGTTTGGCTGTGTACTTTATTCCCTTTTAATGATTGATCGTGTACCATCTATTTCCAATTTCCTATTTCCCTGTGTATGGAACAATTAATTCCTTTTCCTTTTCTTTCTGACCATTGTTCTACTTAATTAAATTCTCTGCAATGGCTTTGTTCCAAAAAGTACGCAATATATATGATTTTGTTGCGCTTCATGTTTAGGACCATTTTAATATGCAAGAAAATTCATTCTCTATGAAATTTGATATTCTCCTCTTTAGATAATAATTACATACATGATGTGTTTTTGTTCTTGCTTGCTTACTGTTTATTTATTCAGAGAAAGCTTACTATCAGTTATGTATCTTCTACTCCTTTTTGTAATGATGAATGTTGTGTTTTCATTTGAAGCCATTCATATTGTACTGTACATGTGGAGTTTAAATTCAGCTGTGATATGTGCATGAAAATTTCTAAATTAACTCTTCAATCCATTACACTCTAGTATCTATCTATGAACACGTCTACGAGGTATCTATGTATGGCTATATCATGCTTGCATTGGAAAAAATCTATCTCCAATTTTTTATTTACCTGATAGTCACAGTTGAGTCTTTGGCAATGATAGCAGTAAAACTGGGTCATTGCTTACCTTTAAAACCTGAGTTATCTATCCAACTATTTGTCTCTATTTGTGCGTGCATAATTTATTAGTTGTGTAGTGAATTTGGTGCTGTTAGTAATTGTTCTGTAAAATTAAGTATTGCAGGAGAAAGGAAATCTAACAATTTTGGAAGAGAAGAACAACGTACATTCATTAATTGCTTGACAATTTTAAAACCTTAACTAATAACAGAATTACCCACTGCTTAACTTATTAACTTAAAAAAGAAACTGACAATTGAAACAACAGTAAAAGAAAATACATGTGGACACCTAATGTAACTTCCTAACAGGTGCATTTTTTCTGTTTCTTTTAGGCGTATTATTGATTTTGGAAGTGGAATTGATGAATTTACATTAAGGAATTTATATGGTTCCACTGGGCCTTCAAGGTATCTTGCTTCTCTTTATACACGGATTATTTACTTGTGATATTGTAGTATAAATATGCTATATTTCTTCAGAGCTGAACAAACCTACGAGTATACTCCTCCTGAAGCTTTGCTAAATGCTACATGGTATCAAGGGCCAACAAGCTCAACTTTGAAGTATGTGATGTTCTACAGAAAGTTCGCATCTATATTCAATGTTATCCTTTATGATGTTGCTTGATCTTTTGATTCTGCATGTTTTGAAGCAATCTGTTTGCTTTCACAGATATGACATTTGGAGCGTTGGTGTTGTGATGTTAGAGTTAGTCTTAGGGACACCAAATGTTTTTCAGATAAATGCTTTAACACGTGCTCTATTAGACCAGCATCTAGAAGGCTGGAATGAGGGCGTGAAGGAGCTGGCATACAAGTAAGCATGTTTTTTTGACGGTGCAATCCTAATTTTGTTTAATACCATGAAATTTAGATGACAAGATGATAGTATTTATCTCTCTTTCTCTCTTTTCTGTTTCTGATGATGTCTTGTTCTCTCATTCACCAAATTGTTTGGTTGTTGTTTGATGGGAACTAAGATCCAAATTAGTTCCACTAATGGATTGGAGGTAGTTCAGTATGAAGAGTATATACGATAGAAAAAACTGGTTCTTTAATAGCAAATATATTAGAAAGAAGTTCTGCATTAAAAATTGTAGGACGTCATGAGGGACATTAAGAATATTTAGTGATGTCCTTTGGTCTCATGAATGCCCCCTCTAATTTTGAAGCACTTACAAATGAAGTGTTTAGATCTATGTTGAGGAAGTATGTGCTGGTGTTTTTTAACGATATCCTGGTATTACTTATCTATTATTTGCCCTTGACTTACATTTATTTGTGACTGTTCTGGTACCTATCATTCTCTCTTATTTCTAATATCTGGCTGGAATTTTTGACACAAGCTCAAGCCCTTCATTGAATTGGAATTGCCTGGAGCTTTATTAGAATGGGTGATAACAATCTTGATATTTAAGGATGTGTGTTCCTTTGTGGATTATCTTGGGACACCAAATCTCAAGATTCAGTTTTCTGGTTTAGTTTGAAGTCAATATTTTTTTCAATCATTTTAAACTTTAGACTTTGCTTGCTCTTCAGCATTTTCCTATATTTATTTATTAAATATCAAGGAAGTAGGATAAAATAGATGCTTTGAAATTTTGAAACTTTGGGCATATGGGATGGTGAGTGTTGTTCTCTCTGTTATACGATTTCATTTCATTAGTTAAGTTATATCAGGTATTTATTATTGCAAAACCTCGGAAGCATTTTGTTTGCTTCAATCCCATAAATTTTAGGTTTGAGTTTTAACAACTAAAATATTTACTGTCTCCTTCAAAGCTGGTATGTGCAAGCAGTTAGGTGCCAAAACATTTGAATCTTGCTCATGCATCCCAGTTCTAAATATTATGGTTTAACTCTAAAACTGTTGTTTTTGTTTTGAAGACTTGATTTTAATTCTTTGAACTTGTGTACTCCATATAATTGTAACTTTTATTTTATTAATGTGGTGACAGACTTAGATCATTCATGGAATTGTGTATTTTAATCCCTGGAATCTCCAGGTCCGGCAGTATCTCAAAAAAGTATCACAGAGTGAACCAAGTAAGTTTAGCATCTTCACAGTTTTAATCTTGTTTTTGACATGTGAAAAGCTAATTATGATATTTAAACTTGTTGGACATCCCATATCGACAATTATAGTATGTAAGTGGCATACAAATCTTACCTTATGAGCCTACTTTGTGGTAATGAGTTAGGTCTAAATTCACTTTCTATGATGGTATAGACTTAACAAAAACTGTCCATGTTGCCTTACATAGACATTGTCATGTTGTATTGTACTACATATCAATTTTGGTATTTTGAATACAAAACCCATAATTATAAATAAATTAATATCTTTTCACAAAACACATTTTTATATAATTATAGGATTAAGTGAGATACAAATCTTACATTATATAAGCCTACTTTATAGTATTGAGTTAGGTCTAAATTCACTTTCGATGATAGTATAGACTTAACAAAAATTGTCCATGTTTACATAGTTGTTGTCATGTTGTATTGTACACAACATATCAAGTTTGTTATTTTAGATACAAAACCCATAATTATAAATAGATTAATATCTTTTCACAAAACACATTTTTATATAATTTATATAAAATAACTTTTTATTGATATATTTGTTCTATATCACTATACAGGATCCAGATTGACAAAGAAAGCACGGTCCAAACAGAAATAATGGAATCAGTGCAAATCCAGTTCAGGAAGAGGGTTCATGACCAGTTCATACCCTTGTTTTGCACTAAATTCAAATAATTTTTTTTTATAACTTATTTTAATACACACAAAAATCAAGGAGATTGAGATAAAAAACAATTTTAGTGGTGTTTGTTATCGATCCCCATCCTTATGATGTTAGTCTTGAGAGCTATTGGGAATTGGGAAGCTTCCTAGTCCTGCTGTTGCACAAAATGAAAAGTCTTGGAGTATCGTTGTCCTATATATATTTAGGATTCGGATAATTGAGAATATGGTGCAAATTTTGACCCTAGACAATTTTGAGTAGGAATGACAAATCGAAGTCTAGGCCTACCTGAAAAGTGGCAGGATGGATTAGTGATTTTAGTTCGACAGTCCATTTTAGTCTGTCCCGCCCAGCCTGCCAATTTGGTGGGTCAAGGGCGGGGCAAGCTTTAAAACAATAGTTATATATTAAAATTAAAATAAAAATATGTATAATTAAATATATTATATTTTTTTTGTTATATTATTGACATATCTAAATATATTATAATATTATAATTTAAATTATAAAAGTTAATTAATTAAATTTAAATTATTAATTATAATTAGTTATTTTGACACATAAAATAATAATTTTTTCAACTTATTTAATAAAAATATTAATTAATAAATAAAAACTTAAAAATCATTCATATAATAAAAGATATATTTTTTAAAAAATATATAAAATTCTTTACATAAAAAAAAAATAAAAAATTACTAGTAGGCGAGGGAGCACTAGACTGACCCGTTTTGTTATCCCTAATTTTGAGAACTGCCTTCTCCTTTATAGGGAATATAGACATTTGAGTCAATTGGTTTAGTTTTTGGAAAGATGCCACCTTCCAACTTTCTTATTTTTATATTCCTTGACCTGATGAAGTGTTCATTTTTGTCAATGTAGGTTGGAGTTTCACCTGCATCTTGGAAATGCTCCGAAGAATTCTTTTCTCGTCAAATTAAGAATCGAGATCCCCTAAAAATAGGGTTAGCTTGCTACTTCTGATGCTTTCACTTATATATATATATATATATATATATATATATATATATATATATATATATATATATATATATATATATATATATATATATATATATATATATATATATATATATATTTCTTGTAATAATATTTCTTTTGACTGGCAGCTTTTCAAATATCTGGGCTTTACGGTTAGTGCGCAGTCTGTTACATTGGGATCCTGTAAGTTCCCATATTAAAATGGATTTCTTGTCATGTATACCCTCAAAACATGTTTGATTGATGATGTTTACCATCATATCATTGAAGTTTGGTTGCCTTATTTATATGCAGTTGTACTAATCTCTGCATTTCTATTAAATCTGTAGATAGAGGGAAAGATCAAGACAAATGAAAGAATCCATGTGTTTGAATACAATAGAACAAATATTAATATTAGGTGTCAGAAATACAAGAATAATTAATTACAATGATATGTCCCTACAATATTTACTGTAGTTACATATTTCCAGCACTTTCCTTAAGTTAGAACATATAAACCGTATATACCAAGCTTAATATATAACAAATTTGAGGATCTTCCAATGATTTGTGAAAATATCTTTCAGTTGACTATTTGAATTGACAAAGCTAGTGGTTTGTCTCTTTATAAGATATTCTCCCTTATGAAATGACATCATATTTCAATATAATTGGTCTTGACTCTTGTCAATATGAAAAGCTAGAGTTGAAGCATTATGCAAGGGCGCATAATTATCCCAAACAAATATCATCTATGCATCCTTCCTAATATCAGTTCCTTGAGCAACTATTTGAATCAAGTAAGTTAACAAGCGGCCGAGGTCTTGGTTCGACTACTTGTGAACCCGATCTTTGAACCAGTCTCAATTTCATACGTTTCTAAGAAATCATTACCACCAATCGAGATGCAGTAACCAGGGTTAGGCCTCCTGTCAATGCAAGATTTTGACTCATACACCTGAATATCCGCATCTAATATCCTGAATATCCCATAACTGGTGTGACCCTTTGTCTTCATATAAGAGACTTTTTTCTTAAGACTCTTTTTGTATATTTCAATATGTTATTATTACATCCCAATTTCCTTAATATGGAGCTCGAAATCTGACACACCTCAGTGTAAAGGTCTTTTAATCTTTTATGTAATAATCAGCTAGTTCAGTTTCTTGACCAATCATTTATGTCTTTTTCGATCTCAAAGTGGTTCATCCTAGAACAGATGCTCAACAGTAGCATCATTTTTTTTTTCCTTGTGTTTTTGTTTCACTTATTATGGTGCCATATGAGTCAAAAACTGAAAAACAGTAACACAATATGTCTTTGACACAGGACTTTTCAAAGTACCCATTCTTCCTTGTTAAGAGCAAGCAAGTGCCTACACCTCTTGAAAATAGTGTTGCCGTGTCCGATTCCTTTTGGACATGATACTTCTCGAACACGATTTTCACATGTGTCCGACACTCCTCAATTGTGTCACAATTAAAAAATAATTATTCAGCTGACTCCTCTTCAACACCTCTTGGATATTTCTTCAACCTAGATTGAGATGAGTAAAGAAATTGAGCCAATACTAATTCTTGGCTAAAAGACACTACTATCATAAAAAAAGTAAAAACGAAATTAAAAGAAACACTAACATACATTGTACATAATTGTTAGAAATAGCTAAATATATGGGCTAAACCCATTTTTTTGTACCATAATATTTATATATATTTGTTCTTCTATTGTGCATCATACACATGGATTTTATTCACATCCCTCTCCACCATTTATTTTAACATAGCATCTAGAACCTAAGCTTGTGCCTTCCTAGTGGACCATTATCCATTGGTGCCAAAAATTTTCTGGAAATCATGTTCCATTGATCATCATGAGTTTGGCCACATCTTTGACCTTTCTTGTCGGTGCAGCCCTCCTCTTCCCCGATCTAGTCATGGTATATTGTGTTTGGAGCCTATTTTCTACACCATCCCTTTATTGCGCTTGTTTTCTCTCTCCCGTTATTGTGTTCTCTCTCCTCTAGTCTTCATGGCTTCTTCAACTTTTGTTAGGTCTAATTCTCCTTTTCACTAATTAAGTCAATGTGTCTCTCTCCATTTGTAAGTTAGATGGTAATAATTATATCATGTGGGCCTCAAATATTAAACTTTGGTTGAAAACACAAGATTATGTTGATTATTTTACCTAGACAATGACATTCATTGATGAAAAAGATTGTTCTTGGTACATGTTAAAATAAGAAAGGCATAAGTTGAATCCCTAATGTGTATTAAGCACATAGTTATCTACTTAGAAGTAGGAAAATATAGAGCTGTCAAAACGGGCAGTTCAGTCCAACATGGGCCGATTAAAAAGATTTAATATCCTAGCCTGATCCTTTTTTAAACATATAATTAAAAAAACAATTAATGAAATTGTTAACATGGTTATATCAAAACAATTAATTAAAAAAATATTTAAATAAAAATAAAATAAAATAATATATTTTAAAAGTTAACTTATATTAATGAAATTAATTTTTATTTAACATATAATGATTTAATATATAAATTATAAGATAATGGATGAATCCAATATGAAAATAAGAATTAAAACTTACTTTCTTTATTATTATTATTCTTATTTTAGTAATTTATTGATCTTAAATACTAATTAATTTTAACCATTAGATCTTCAAATAAGTGGTTGTTAGAAACTTACACTCATATTTACTCTTAGAATAAGTGAATTCCTTATCAAATTAATTTATTATATATATATGCATATATATTCTAATAAAATAATGTTATTTTTATTTAAAAAATAATTATTATTTTATAAAACGAGCTAACTCATAATCCTATGGGTTAGTTAAGCCTAAGCTCATGTAGGCCATTGCCTAAACGGGCTAATCAAAATAGGCCTTAAATATTTTTGTCCAATATGGCTTAATTTCGGGTCTTTTGGGTCGGCCTATCAGGCTAAACCTATTTTGACACCCCTAGAAAAATACAAAGATATGGGTCTAAGTCCATTACATCCAACACTCCCCTTTAAGTTTATGCATATATATTGTATGTGTCAAGTTTGTAACAAATATAACAAATTCTAGGTCTCCGTAATGATTTGGTAAACACCTATGATATATGTCTTCAGATACAATCTTTTCTTGAAAAAAATGATAATCAATCTCAATATGTTTGCTCCTTTAATAAAAGAGGATATTTAAGCTAATATGAAGAATGACTTGATTGTCACATATAAGTGTCATTTGAGTGACCTCTCCAAATTGTAATTCTTTAAGTAATTGTTTAAGCCAAATAAGCCCACAAGTAGTTAAGGCCATAACTCTATATATTGTTTCCGCACTGGATCTTGCTACAATATTTTGTTTCTTACTCTTCCAAGAGATTAAAATGTCTCCAATAAATACACCATATCTGGAAGTGGATCTCCTATAAAAACAGTTTGCCTAAGCAACATTTGAATAACATACAACTCTAGTGTGATTATATAACAAATCTTTTCTAGAAGTGGCTTTAATATACATTAATATACGAATGACAACATTTCAATGATTTGTATGGAGAATTAAGAAATTGACTCATCACACTAACTACAAAAGAAATGTCAATGCAAGTAACAATAAATAATTCTATTTTTCAACTAATCTTTAATTCTCAAGATCTGAGAGTAGCTCCCCCTGATTAGGTGGGAGTTTGGCATTGGGATCCATGGGTGTGTTAACAAACTTTGAAATTCATTAACCTAACTTCCTCCAAAATATCCAATGCATACTTCCTTTGAAAAATAAGAATTTCATTGTTGGATATGCTACCTTAATCCCTAAGAAATATCTGAGTTTGTCAAGGTCTTCAATCTAAAAGTAGTGACAAAGGTGTTGCTTTACCTGTGAGATACCATGGTGATTACTGCTTGTATGTACAATATCAACATATACTGCTAGATAAATACATTCAACACTTGAGTAACGATAAAGATATACCAATCCAGAATAATTCTTCTGAGCAACAAAACCTAGAGGTCGTTTCATATAAATTTCTTCCTGCAAATCACCATCAAGAAAAATATTTTTGACATTCAATTGATAAAAAGACCAACATTGAAAAGCATCCATGACTATGAATAAGCAAATAAAGGTCATATTTGCAACTAGAGAAAAAGTGTCACCATAAAAAAATTTGTGTATAATCTTTGTCTATTAGGCGAGCTTTGAGACGATCAATAGTACTATCAATACTAACTTTGATGGCAAAAATCCACCTACGACCAACAGTAGACTTCCTTGACGATAAAGGAACAAGTTCCCAAGTTCCACTATTTTAAAAAACACTTATCTCATCAAGTATGGCATGATGCCAACCAAGATAGGCTAAGACATTACCTATAGACTTTTTAAATTGAAACAAAAGAAATAGACGAAAGAAAAGTATAAAGTTATGGAGATAACCTATGATAAAGGACAATGAGAAGTCAAGGATTAAACCTATGTCTAGATACCATGTTAAAGTAAGAGAGACATAAGTTGAATCCCTAATGTGTGTTAAGTACATAGGGTTATCTATTTATAAATAGGAAAATACAAAGATATGGGCTTAAGCCATTATATCTAACAATCCAAAATTGATGCCCAAGTTTGTAGTGTCTTGAAGTCCACTATTCAGTCTTTAAGCTTACAGCGAAAAATCTTCTTTATGTTGATGGCATTTTATAGGCTCCCTGACGAGTATTCTTCTATTCATCATCAGATTTTGGGATCCCTGACTATGCCTACTTTGAATTCTACCTGGTCTACCTATGCAAATTATCGCTTAATATCTTCTTATGCCACTCCTAGTGACTCATCTACATTCGTATCTCAACATGATGACCATCACCGCACTCACAAATCCAACAAGGGTTATCTCAAGTGTAATCTTTGTGATAAATTGGGTCATACAATTGACCAATATTATGTACTACGTGTTGCAC